TGTTACTGTTGAGGTCCCTAACTGGGGTTCTAATACATCTATAATAATAATAATCTATAATAATAAAAGCATAATATGCTAATTAGACTGGACAGCCGGATGGCCTTCCAGATGTCCTTCCAGACGACCTTCCCGACGAAGCTGGGGCTGCCAGGGGCCAAGCCCCTTGCACGAATTTCGTGCATCAGGCCTCTAGTATATGTGTGTGTGTGGGGGGCGGGGGTTGTGTGTGTATGGGGTTTTTTTGTGGTTTTATTTAATATATTTTATTGATTTTATAGAGGAAGGGAGAGGGGGAGAGAGAGAGTACCCTAATTAAGTTAATAACAATGTACCTACCTATATAGTTTAAGTTTAAAAAATTTGGCTCTCAAAAGAGATTTCAATCGTTGTAGTGTTGATATTTGGCTCTGTTGACTAATGAGTTTGCCGACCACTGAGCTAGGGCATATATATGTTTTAATATACAGTGGGGCCCTGACTTACGAGTGTCCCGACTAACGAGTTTTTTGAGATGCCAGTTGTCTCTCGGCCGATTTTTTTGCATTGAGTTGATAGAGTCATTTGAGTTAACGAGCTCCTTAATGCTCTCCTTAACGAGCTTGGTCTCGGAACGAATTAAACTCGTAAGTCAAGGCCCCACTGTACACATTTTTAAGTACATTTTTCTTCATTTCAGAGAGGGAGGAAGAGGGGAAGAGATAGAAACGTCAGAGATAAGAGAGAACCAGGGGTGGGCTGCCTCCTGCACGCCCCCTGCTGGGGATCGGGCCGAAACCCCCAGGAATGGAACCCTGACCGCTTGGTTCCTGGGACAATGCACAACCACTGAGCCACACAGGCCAGGCCAACCACACTCCTACTTATTTATATTTTTCATATTTAATTTTTATTTTCTTAAAAATATTTGTATTGATTTCAGAGAGGGAGGGAGAGGGAAGGAGATGGAAACATCAGTGATGAGTGAGAATCATGGATCGGCTGCTTCCTGACGCCCTGCACTGGGGATGGAGCCTGAAACCCCGGAGTGTGCCCCCACCAGAAATCCAACCTTGACCTCCTGGTTTATGGGTTGATGCTCGACCACTGAGCCACGCCCACCAAGCCGATCACACTCGTTTTTAGATTTCAACAGCCAGGCTAGCAGCAAAGCTAGAGGTGACATGAGCTGGGCCACTAGGAAAGGTGGCTCCTTGGGAGTTGAAGGAAGTAGAAGCAGTGCGGGCAGGGGGTGGGGGCTGCAGGCTGGGGTGCCAGGATTCAGCGCAGGGACTCCCCTAGGAGGAGACAGACACCCTGACACCAGTGTTGGAAACCCTAGATTCATAAGGAATGGGGAGGCTTTAACAGTGGTTCTCAACCTTGGCTGCACATTAGAATCACCTGGGAATCGTTTTAAAATCCTGATTTCTGGGCCTCATCCTCCTGAAATTCTGTTTCTTTGTTCCTAATGTTGTGGCCCCGCCCCATTACAAAGAAACAGAATTTCCGGAGGATGAGGCCCAGAAATCAGGATCTTAGAAGGATTCCCAGGTGATTCTAAAGTGCAGCCAAGGTTGAGAACCACCGGGCTTTAAGAACATCAAGAACCCTCTTCAGCCGCGTGGCCTGAGTGAAGCCCAGCTTGGGATTGCTCAGAGTCAGGCGGACGCAGGAACACCCGATGAGACCCCGGGCACCCTCTCCTGTCCTCTGGTAGCCTGTGCCTGCCCGGCCTCATCGCCCCCACATCGTCCTGTCACTCGGAAAGGTGACACCCCCCAGCTGAACAGGAACCTGTGGCTTTTAGGAACCGGTGGCTTTTGAAGATGTGAGCCTGGGTTTTGACCTGGAGGAGTGGGAACTGCTGGACCCTGAGCAGAAGTCCCTGTACAGACAGGTGGTGCTGGAGAACTACAGGAACCTGGCCTCCGTGGGTAAGCCCGGCCTCCGTGTCCATAAAGATGTGCGCTTTGCTGCTCGATTGTGGTGCCGCTGACATGTGTGTGTCTGCTTGGGCTCAGGCTGCAGGGGTCAGAGTGCAAGAGTCAAGGCCCGGAGCTTGGGGGAGAGGGCTTTATTTTGTACCCCTGGGTAAAGGGCATCTCCACCTGTGACTTCGGAAGCAAGCGTCACCTAGCCCACCCCTCAGAGGCCTTGAATTCCAGGGGGCATCGTGTCCGCGTCCAGCAGCTCAGGGGTGGCGTCCCAGACCCCGACCCCTTCCATCTCTGGGGTTAGGGTGAACATTTCCACTCTCAGGTCGGTAACTGGGTAACTGCATCATGACTCCACGCATCACTTTCCTGTTAAAAAGCAGGACGAAGGGGATGGGCAGCCCCGGCTGGTGCTGTTTTCACAGCTGTTGTATTTAGCAAAAGAGAAAAAGCCCTGTGGCCCCTCTGACACACTTCCCTTGATGACTTGCTGGCCAGAACTGGGTCTACTGCCAGCTTTACCAGCAAGGGAGTCCCGGACAGCAAGCAGCAGCAGACACAGGCGGTGGGCGGGTTATCATCACTGCCCTAGACCAAAGGCACTTTCTAGGAGCCCAGGTGCCACAGCAGGAAAGCATTTTCTTCCGAACACAGACCCCCAAGTCCTGTCTCTCTTCCCTTGGGCAGAATATCAGCTTTCCAAGCCAGAGGTGGTGTCTCGGTTAGAGGAGGAGGAAGAGCTCTGGTCGGTGGAGAGAGGAATTCCTCAAGACACCTTTTCAGGTGAGAGCCAGGCACGCGGGAGTCCTGGCAGGGAATGGGCTGACTGCACAGGGAACCGGGTGGGGTGCTGGGGTGAGTGTCTGCAGACACGCTGCCTTTTCCTCGCGCCTCAGGGTCAGGGTGTGCTGCTTGGTTGAACGTGAACCTGGTGCTGGTGGTCGGTTGGTTCCACTCATTGTCGACTGCTCTCCCCTCATGTAACCACCACTAACTGGTATGTGTCCCTGGCCAGGCTTTTTTTTTTATTTTATTAATTCTCACCTGAGGATATTCTTTCCATTGCTTTTCAGAGAGAGAGGGAGGGAGACATCAACTGGTTGCCTCCCACATACGCCCTATCCAGGGGTGGGGAGTGAACTGCAACCCAGGTGGGTGCCCTTGACCAGGAATCGAACCCTCAAGACACTCTAATCCACAGACCACCAGTTGGCGACCGCTGCTCCAATCACTGAACCACACCAGCCTTTCCTTTTTATGTTTACATATATGTATATGAATACTGTCCCCTACTCAACTATAGTTTGAAATAAGTTTTTAACTTTATGGTGGTGCTTTCAGTATAGTATTTAACAATTTAAGATGTTCAACACTATTATCAAGCAGGCTTTGTGTTAGATCAGGAGTGGGGAACCTTTTTTCTGCCAGGGACCATTTAGATATTTATAACATCATTCTCAGGCCATACAAAATTATCCACTTAAAAACTAGCCTGCTATATTTGGTCAAACATTTGATGAACTCACCCCTAATGCCTTGACAGGGCCAGACTAAATGATAAGGCCCGTGGGCCAGATGTTCCCCACCCGTGTTAGATGATTTTGCCCCGCTGTGGGCTAATGGAAGTGTTCTGAGTGTGTTTAAGGTAGGCTGGGTTAACTGCATTTTCAAGTTAGGATATTTTCAACTTAGGATGGGTTTATTGGGACATAACCCATCCCTAAGTCGAGGGACATTTGTATATGTTTATATTTTGGGTTGTTCTTAATACAGGTCTACTTCATTTTAAAAGATGCAGTATAGTTCATATTTAATTTTTCTCTTGATGGACATTCAAGTTGTTGGAAAAAAATTCCTTGTATACATTTTATTTTTTGGCACATTCAGGTTGGTTTTTCTTATAGGTAGGATTTATAGAAATGGAACCTGAGAATCAACCAAGATGTAAGCTGAAAGTGGTAGCAACAAATTGCTGTGTAAAATCCTTTAAGCCCTGGCTGGTGCGCTCAGTGGCTAGAGTGTTGGCCTTGCCCCAAAGGGCTGCAGGTTTGATTCCAGGTCCAGGGCACTTGTCTGGGCTGCAGGTTTGATTCCAGGTCCAGGGCACCTGTCTGGGCTGCAGGTTTGATCCCCCACCGATGTTTCTCTCTCTGTCTCTCCCCCTCCCTTACACTCTCTAAAAAATCAATGGAAAAAATATTGTCTGGTGAGGAGTAAAAAAAATAAGTTTTAGGATTTACTTATTTTTATTCCTGTTCTAGGCTCTATATCATACATAGGTAGGTTATACAAGTATTTTTGTTTCCTAGTTTCTTTGGGTTTTTTCTTAGCTGTTTTACTTGTCTGGCATTTCTTCGTGTTGTATAGCGTAGGGCAGGTGTTCTTTCAGCGCCCATTTTCAGTCTAGGTTCTTCCACTTATTGGAAACACCCTGTTTATCATGAACTAGTTTTTTTGTTTGTTTCCAGTCCTAACCTGAGGATATTTTCCCCCCATTGATTTGGTCCTGAGGGGCCAGACCTTCCTGAATGCACTTCAGCCTGACCTAGGAGTTTGCTGACTCCAGCTGCCAAGGGAGACGGGATCAGGGCTTGTGCCAGCACAGAGACCATGTGCAGGAGGCTCAGCAGGACACTCGCCCTGGCCAGGCGTCAGGGGACAGCGCCTGGCTCCTCTGCCATCAGGTCCTGTCTGTGTGTCCCTGAGGGACCGTGCCTGGCTCCTCTGATGTCAGAGTCCCTTCACCTCACAGCACCGTGGAAGCCCTCCTGTGTCTTGTGCAGGGCATTAATCACTCTGGTGGTGCCGTCGTGGACTTTGTGGTCTGGTAGTTTATAGCTTCTGCAGACAAGTTGCACAGATGGGACCATGCTCACATAAATATGGTACGTCCTGAGGGAAAGGGCCTGGTGTAAAGGGAGCGTGGGGATTATTCCACAGGAGGTGGTCGGGGACACTGCGGGGTGATATTCAAGCTGATT